ATTCTTATAGGTAATATTAGGCAATATACCAGTGGCTTTACAAATCCAGATTTTTGTTCTCTGTTTATATAAGTACTAATCACCCTTCTCGCTAACACGAAGTACTTGAAAAACTTTTTCGCATACCTTAATCATTTTTAATATATTCTAAATTCCCAGGTGTCAACTGTAGGGTATTATTAATAAAAACAATTACTTATAACCAAGTTTTATTATCCTACCAAGCCATATCATATGAATAATTGTGTACTAAAGTTGACTTTATTTATATAAACATGATAGAATCTGGGTAAGCTATAGAGCATTTTTCGCAGTATTTCTATCCCAAGTACCGTAAGAAAATTTCTTTTAACGAGATAATATATTATCTATGACACTGCAAAAATTATAAATTTTTGCCGATGGATGGATTTTTGAATTAGTTTAATGTTAAACGAATGGTTAGTAAAAAACATAAAATATGCATAAAAGAAGGAAGAATATTATATATTAGTCTTATTAGTCACTTTGAGAAAGATAATAATTATTATCGTAGATATGTCGCTACTAGGTATATCAAAATTGATAATTTGCGGTTTGCACTTAGAATTAGGTATATCAACGCATTAGTCATCCTGCCATCCAAAAAAATACAATAATAAGAGATTATTACTTATAGAAAAAAGATTAAAGTAATAATTATTTAACCAAAAAGAAAACATTTACCCTTTGGGACCTAAACATATCTATACTAATATTATAAAGAGGTCAAGTTTGTGAGTTTGTGAGGTTCTAGGGTGTAATCTTTGGATCTACTGAACCAATTTAGATGTGGCAAAAAGATAGTTTGAGACTTTACCTTTACCGACTTTACCCCCTTAAGGTATGATTTCCGAGATAAAAAGTATCCTATGTCTTTCCCAGGGTCTTAAATTATCTTCTAACCAAATTTCATCTAAATCGGTTCAGTAGATCCAGATATTACCCCCTACAACGTCACAAAGTCACAAACTTTACCTCTTTATAATACTAGTATAGATATAATCATTTTTCTTTATCTACCATCGCCGATTAGATTTCAAATGTATAGTTTTGTAAGGTGTAACCTTCAGCGTGAGTATGTCAGCAATTCTATGGAAAGTCAAATCACAGCATCGGATGGTATCGGCTAATCCAGTGACTAAACGAAGTGATTCATATTTTATCGCACTATACTCGTATATGTAATACACGATTTTATTAGCTTCTAGTAACGCGTTCAATATTTAGTAATATAGAAATCTGGGAATATTCTTCTAAAATATTTTCGTCCATAATTCCATAATTACTGGAACAAGAGTGAGTAAAGACAGTCTGTAGATAAGCCGGGAGGTACATAGGTCCGTATATTTTTACTTAGATGTTATTCATTGAAATTACATATGTATGTCTAAAAAAACCTAATAAGGAAAACTTGAATCTGAAAAATGCTAAAATACGTTTTTATTTAATTGTATTGAAGAGCTTTACCAGTTTCAAGTAATTCTGATCATAAATATTTTTTTGAGTTGTATATACGTGTTTTCACGTGGGAATAAGATAACCTTCCGCGGTAAAAAGTACCCTATGTCACTCACCAGCTTCGCACCACACAAGAAACACACCAATCTGTCACTCTGTTTCGACAAACAAACAAACAAAGAAACACACTTTCACATTTATAATACTACTAGCAGAACCCGCGGCTTCGCTCGCACTAAAACTACAAAAAATCTCTAAAAAGGTAGTTTCATACAAACTTTCATCCCCTATTTTACCCCCTTATAGGATGAATTTCGAAAAATGCTGAAACACGTATTTATATTTAATTTTATTGAAGAGCAAGTTTCAAGTAGGTAATTCTGAACATAAATATTTTTTTGGATTGTATTATAACGTGTTTTCTCATGGGAATGAGATAATCTCCCGCGGTAAAAAGAAGCCTATGTCACTCTGAAGCCCCACAATTATCTCGACATAAAAAATCACGCCAATCCGTCATTCCGTTTCGGCGTGAAAGAAAGACAAACAAACAAACACACTTTCACATTTATAATATTAGTATGGAAGTATGGATATGGATTGCGTCGACTACTTAATATCTTTTTTGTTACTTACTCAGACATCATTAATTAATAGTAATCCGCTTAGCGCCATCTAATGAAGGTTAAGATGGATCTTCATTATTTTGTGTGTGATAGAGATAGTTTGCTATATCATAAATCCAACCATGTGAACGCTCGCACATGGTTGGACGCATATTTAATGTGAAAATACTTTGCCTGCTTCTGAAATGCTAAGGTAAGTTAATGATGCTTCTTAACTTAATAGAGAAGATTTTTTGCCTTTTTCTCCCGCCAGATGTCGCGGTCACTATGACCTTCAGTATATTGTAAAGCTAAAGCTTCACATTCAAACAAGGATGTTTTTTTTTTTCATTTTTTTAAAGTGTAATTAAAACGACAAATTGTGCAGTGCCAGGATGCAAAGAAAATTGATATGATTTGTTTCCAAAAGACAAAAACTGAAGAAGTTGTGGGCTAAAGCAATAAGACGACCAAAATTGGCCAAATCATAATCTTTATATTTAAGGCTTTAAGTGATTTTACAACTTAATCGTCTACAGGTGTTTTTTTTATTTTTTTGTTCTTTTTTACATATTAATTCTGACTTCCAAAAAGGAGGAGCTTCTTAATTCGTCGGAATCCTTTTTTTTTATGTATGTTCACCGATTACTCGAAGACGCCTGAACCGATTTGGAAATTATTAGTTTTTGTTTTGAAGGGTATACTTCTCAGGTGGTCCCATTTAAGTTTTATCGAAATCGATCCAGCGGCTTTTTAAAAACAACAGCAATAAATTATTTTTTTAAATAAATTGCTTAATCGAATATGTTATTAAAAAGCTTTCTTCTTACAAATTACCTGCTTATTACATCTACACTAAAAATTGAAAAATAAAAACTAAAAAAAAAACCGACTTCCAGGCACTAAAATGTAAAAAATAACTAAATGGGAGTATTCATTTAGAATAGATACCTACCTAATCAGATATTTTCTGAGTCAGTGCCAGCCGACAATATTTTAAGATATGAATATTTTAAGGTATAAACTCTAATATTGTTAAAATATTATACACCAATTTGTGATGTTTTTACGTATCGAAATATATTATATTTGCTTTGTATCGGCTGGCACCGGCTTCGAAAATATCTGATTAGGTATCAATTCTAAATGAAAGAGAGTTCATTGAACACTGCGTGGATAATCTTCATACGTCAAAAATGGATAAACGCAGTGAAAAACTACTAAAGTCACTTGTAAAGTAAAGTAAAGTCTTCAAATTTTTTAAAATTATTATTTTGTGTATAATCAATATGATGCTACAGTTGGCAGGGATTAGACATCCTCCCCCCCCCCCCCATAAATAATGAAAGATTATCGAGAAAAAAATTCTTTCTGTACGATTTCATTTATTATATAAAACAAAAAGCTTGTTTTGTATTTGGTGACTTTAATATTATATATTAAGTTTAAATAATTAAATACCATTAAGAGAAATAAGTAAAGTAAAGTACAAAACGAATCTTCAAGTTTTTTTAACTGCATTTCAGAAAGCATCAGAAAGATTGAGTAAATTAATATAACATATATTAAGTGATTACAAATTATCAAATAATATTATTTGTACTTCGAAATTTTTATACATCTTTAGCGTTTATTTTTTAAATTTTTATTCTGTCAAAGTTTAAAATACTTTTCAATAAACTTAAATATTCCAGATTTCTTCTATTTTCAATATCATACAGTCAATTTGTAAAAATAATTTTTAATACTTACAATAATTGTCACACTGTAAACATTAGAAACACTGGTTTGAGCGACAACTGTGCAGGTTAATAGCTTATTCTTTTCATCTTCTGTTTCAATAACATTTAAAACATGACCTGATTTAAATAATTTTTGGCCTTTTTTATCGTTTTGACCTCTAATACGATCATTTTTTATAGGTTAAAAGCCAAATTTTATTATTTTTTCCATGATTTAGGCATAACTAATATTATTTAATACACTGTTTACATCACTATGATTTAACACAGGGCGCTCTACTTTCGACAGAAGTGCTGCCCTCTATAATAGTTCTCGTACACTCCATATTATATAGTCTATGTATTCCATACTAATTACTAATAAGTCATAAGGTATATAGGGGCGAACCCGAGCGAAGCAAGGATGAGTCGCTAGTATTTTATAAAGGTTGTCATTATTCTCGGACAACGGACGGATTCGACGATTTCGGCTTAGCCACAATTACACGGAGTCATTGTTATAGTTACTTTCGGAAAATAATTCTTTGGATTATTTCGTTTTGCTTGCATTGGCGATAGATGGCGCTTACCTGAAAGCGGTGGAATTATGGTCTGGTGGGTAGTATTTACGATAAATAGAGGCAATTAAGATGATTCTATTATTTTGCAATAAATTCTTAGTAATAAATCCTAGTGCCTCAAAGAGCAGGTAAAGGAGTTGGGCCTGATGGATCCTTCACCGATTATGTTAAATGGTCACCCCATGAATATTTGTTATACTACAAAAGTTAAAGGTTCATAGAGAGTGCACTTTTTGCGCACACTAGATTATTACTACTCTTAATTCCATAACAATCGTTCAATTAAATATATAGCTACGCTTGATATGTTAATGTTTAAGGTCTCTGGTAAAATGCGGGTACTAAAAAAATAGACTTTATTAAAGTAACACAATGGTAACAAATGCACACAGCCTAATACCTAAAGTAGAAAACTGTGTTTCATGATCAGATCCCCCTATCAGCGTAAATATTCAATGCTCATACGTACGTGAAATAACAAAGTTTGCCGCGTTTTCTGGTTGTGATCTTAATGAAAATACAAATACAGGTGGAGTTAATTAATGAAAGACTATAGGTGTAATTGTATTTTAATAAATATATAAAATAAGTAATCAGATTATTAATAGCAACTAATTTTGAACTGGAACGTAGTATCTTTTTGCGCTTCCATCCCAAAAGCTTGATGTTATCGTCTAGAAAAAAAGAAAATTAGTATATACTATGTATTTCAATATATAAGTTGTAGCCTTGTAATTTTTATTTTTTAAATACAAAACCACTTCATGACTTAACATATATTAGTTTACAAAATAATTATTTTTATTTATCTAATATAAGTACAAAACTTAGGTTAAACTTAATTATATGAATTATTTTTATCTTTAGTTACTATATAACAAAGTCACTATACGTGTCTGTCTATTTCTGCGCTATTTCTTGTATTTTCATACGATTTTTAGTATCATTTCAAGAATTTCTTGGGTCCTTGAATTATAGGTACTTAAATTTATTTAAAAAATATGTCAAAAATATCTTACCACTACAAGCGAGTCTTCGGAAAATTCTCTTTTGAAAGTGAGAGATCGACCATCTTCGAATTTCTGTTGTTGAATTACTACATTACCGTCCACTGTAAAGGTGGACTTTGCCTAAAATTAAGAAAAAATATACTATTACTCTTAATTATTATATATTTAATTTCTTGAAAACACACTGGGAGGCGGTCCACTTCCTTGGGCTATGTGCTATACGGGTTGCTCCAGGTAATTCTCTGATAACAGAAAATACCGTTGGAGTAACCCCATGGTTGTTTCAGTCGCCTCGGCTCCATCAACACGGGGCAGGTTCCGTTGGGTTTTAATGGGCAGTACTGGCTTTTCTAGCCGGTGAGTCCCACATAACCACCTGTATGTATACAGCTAATATGCGAAAATGCATTTCCCGACCTTAAAAAAAAGTAATAATCTATCTTCTGTATACAAAATTTCATCCAAATCTGCTTATCCGTTTCATACTATATTATATAACAACAGTCAAAAATTATGTGTGTTACACACATGCAAATTTTTGCTTGTATGTACAAGGATCTTCCAATTTCATAGGTAGGTAATTACTTTTTCAAACGCTTTCATTTTTTGAACGAACTTTAATTTAAAAAAAAACATTTAGGTACTCCACCGTGCTCTAATTACATAATACAGTGCCTAATCATATTAAATACATTTTAAATAAAAGTTATCGATTAATTTTTATTATCATTATTTTAAAAGTGTATTAATTAGTGATAACTGATAGCTCACATTTTTTATAGTTACAATATACGGGTGTATGTATATTATAATATTTTACCCTACTTATGTAATAATAATTTATCAGTTCATTGTTAAAATTATTAATGCGAAAGTTGCTGTGTGTATACGCTTGCAACCAGTTCCGGATTCAACCTTACCGCCGCCCCTGTGCATAGTAAAAAATGCCGCCTAATTATCAAAATTTTGCATAAAATGGGTAAAGTTTCGATAAAGTTAATTAATTTGAAAAGTGCAAAAAAATAAATTTTATATAAATAATTACAATTTTTCGAAGAATGTACTCGTTATTTTTTTTGTTATGTACTAATTTTTTGGAAAACAAAAAAAAGCATTTTCGATAACGCGAAGAGAATTTTTTTCCCACCCTCCGAATTGCCCCGCGAGTAAATCCAGCGATGTTTGCAACTCCTTCACACTGAAACCGCTGAACAGTTTTGGATAAAATCAGAACACCCATATATATATAGATAGATATGATCTATGGGGTAAAAAATACCGAGGGATGCTTTCGAACGAAGTCGCTAGTACCTATATAATAATTGCTATAAAATACAAATCACTGTTTGATTGCCATAGAATTTAGTAATAATAATAAAATGTTTCTGGTCCTTTCCAGTTACACCGGCCACACCGAGATTGACCATCTATGCGAGACCTTCATAGGTCGTGAGGACGTACGATTAGAGGAAGATATCAAACAGCGTTGACAAGATATAATTTTAAGAATAGAAATCTAAAAAAATATACATGTGAATGGCCTTTTATGACTGTATGACATAGGTAACGATTTTTATCATTTCAATACAATTATGTATTAGGTACTATTCTGTAACCTACGTCCAATGACATCTTGTCTCACCCCATAAAAATATTAAAGTAAAAATAAACTTACAACAATTCCCTCTGCAACTTCCTCGTCGAATTCGACACCATTAGTGAATTTAAGTTCTTTGGTGCCGCGATGACTAACGATTACGAAAACATATTCATCGTCCCCAAGTTTTACGAGCTTCTGTGCAGATTTATGTTTTCGCACGAGTTCCGCCTTATCTTCTGAAATGCCTACAAAAGAAAAAGTAAACTCTTTTCGTGAATTTATTACGATAATAATTCAAATGCCTTTATTTTCATCTTACGCCTGAAACATTATATAGTAATTACTTATATAGATATCTATGTATTTACAATTTCAGTTTTTACAATGGCCGTAAATGACGAAAGACGATAAGCACCTACATATTTGTATAGCGTCAAATAAATAAATTGAGGTGTATGGAGGAGTATCAGGCCTAAAATAAATTACATTTTATACCGCATAAAAATATATATCATATTAAAAACATTAGTAAATGGTTATGTTTTTATTTCAAATACGGAAATGACAAAAAAGTTACAAAGGTTTAAAGTTGCATTATGGAATGAGAAATAATCCCAGCTTCGATAAGCAATATAACGCCATCATTCCTGATTATGAAGAAGGTAGTGAAAGGACATAGTAATAATTTACAAAAAAATATTTACATGGCACTGAATTCAAGGGCGATGACATCATATAAGCCAGCTAAAAATCTTCGTCATATTTTGAGATATACTTAAAAAAATTATGTTTATCCTAAAGTTTGATTTACTTCTTTTCAAAAAAAGTCATAAAACTTTTCCATTTTAACAAAAAATAATATTCTTTTATAATCTATACTATAATAAAACAGTCGAATGTCTGTACAAAACAAAAAAATGCTAAAAACTGAGTCAGGGGGATGTAAGAAAACAAATAGAACAACTCCAGATTTTTTTAATTTTTTGTTTCTCTGTCTGTCTGTTTGTACGGGCTAATCTCCGAATCTATTGGACCGATTTAAATGAAATTTTGCATGGTGGTACATGGTATAAAAATAATATTACGCTTTTTAAAGCAACATGTCATGTAAAAAAGAGAATGATGAAAATAGCACAAATAATATTTTTGTTTTTTTTATCAGTTAGAATGATTACGTAATAGCGTTTTTATAATCAGGTATTAGATAGATAATATTATTTTTTACCACTGATAATTTCTGAATTATGTAATTATTGCCATAAAATTTAATAATATTATATATATATGATGATGATGAGTTTTATAACCCTTACTTGAGAAATACAATTACACCCTTGATTGGGATTGATTCCCCTTACAAAGTTCCACCCCCCTTTTCATCCAAAGTTATAAGATTTTTCGGTTTTTTGCCTATTATTTGCCAATTAGCTACAGAATCTTGAGAATCTAGAGAATATTAATGAATCCCATTTTCATCATGGTCTATTTCAAAAATAAACTTTGTGAAAAAATCAAATTATTATAATAATTATTAACTACCATTGCCCGCGGCTCCGCCCGCGTTCAGATGGCCAAAAACCAAATTCTAAGATTTTACATATTAGTATACTCTTACATTACAGTTTTTAAAATTGATTGAAATTTTTATTTGTATTTTTTCTCAGAAACGAGATAGTTTTCCGCGGTAAAAAGTATCCTATATGTTGACCCGGATAACCAGCTATCTCCATACCGAATTTCATGAAAATCCTTTTAGTGGTTTTTCTGTGATGCGGTAACAGACAGACAGACAAAAATTCTAAAAACTATAGATTCGGCCTCTGTATCGATAATAATGTTTATTTCAATAAGATTGTCCAAAAAATATCTAATGTATAGATCAGGAAATTAATTTGTTTGATTACTTTGATTAGCTACAAAACAAAAGCACTAAAAAGTAAAAAACAACTGATTGGTAGTTTTCATTTACTATACATACCTAATCAAATATTTTCGAAGTCGGTGTGCTTTGGACAAGTAATTAAAGCCTACCTATTAAATACATACCTAATCAACTATTTTCGAAATCAGTGCCAGCCCATACAAAGCAAAGCACACCGACTTCGAATATATTTGATTAGGTATGTATAGTAAATGAAAACTACCAATCAGTTATTTTTTACTTTTTAGTGCTTTTGTTTGAAGTCGGTTTTTATTTTTTTTGTTAAAAAGTTTTTATTTTTCCCTTTTTAGTGTAGACAGTAGTAGCAAAGTAAGAATTCTAACGTGTTAGGCTTGTCAAATCAAACAAAATAAGCCCAAACTCAAAGTATCTACTATTAGCCGTTGAAGAGTTCCATCTATCCACCTTCTGGCCTTACCATCAGATCAGGTCAACAATACCAAACCACTGTACTATCAACGGAAATGGAAACACTTGCAAAGTTTCAAGTCAATATGACAATTAGAAGTAGGTTAAATTCATCATTAGCTATTTTTCCACCCTTAGGAGTGGTATTTTTTTTTGAAATTTAAATGGGACCAATCTGGAAGTATACCCTTTCAAACGACATAAAAATTGTTCAAATCGGTTAATAAATGACGGAGTTCTGAGGTAACAAACATAAAAAAAAAAAAAAAAAAAACATACAGTCGAATTGAGAACCTCCTCCTTTTTGAAGTCGGTTGAAAAAAATATATTCACTTACCTAAGCTGGCCACGAACTCGTCAAAGTTCTCATCTTTGTCGAGGATGAATTCCTTACCAAAACCTGCCATTGTTAAAACTGAATTTCTTGCTAGTGTCCGACACAGAATTGAACAGAAATTTTCAAGCTTTCTTTTTATATTGACACCTGCAAATCGTCGATAATCTTAGGTTAAGTTGGTTATCTATATACGTCTTATCTCATACTAATCCGTATTCATATCATAATAGGCGTACCCAGTTTTTGGAGAGGGGATGGTAAAGCAGAAATTTATTAAACCGGGTCCCCCGTGCTTGTTGTACCCTACACAGTACACACTACACGAAGACAAAAAAAATCCGAATGTCCATTTTTATTAAGCGGACACTTTTTATTATTGTGCAACAGATTGCACACTGTACACAACATCAAGCAGATTTTTTAAATACCTATAAGATAGACAAACGACTTATCCTCGATTCGCTTGGGTGCGTCCCTACGTACCTACGCGGATTTTGCTTACAACTTCATGGATATTTCTTTGCACTGAACCGAAGTTATTTAAAAAAAATGAAAGTAGCTGAGTTTAGCTGCTACCAGGGTGCGCCAGCGTCCGGCAGAACCGCGCCAAGTTTAAGCTAAACGCTTTTTAATATGCTCAACTATATAAACGTCTCAACCTACATTGGCATTTTCTACATTTCTGAAACTATCATTTTTTTACTTTGTTGTGTCCATATAAACTTTCAAACATCATCGTTTTACAAACTTATGATTAACCAAAGTTTCAGTCAAATCAACTGAACAGTATTTTATAGCATTTTTAAAGTTATAAATACTTCTTTTGGCACGTTATGAAAAATGAAAAATGAATGATGAGTGTGAATGTTTTACGATGCGACAGATTTAGACTACAGTATGAAGTTAGTCGTTAAAAATCCCTTTATTATAGTGAGATGTCTATATTCAAGACTAGCGGCTCACCCGCGCTTCGCTCGGGTTCGCCTCTAGAAAAGCACAAACACACCTATCCCACGGGAACAAATTTTTTTCCGGGATAAAATGTAACCTGTTGTTTGACCGGCAATATAAGGTATCAGCATGCCAAATTTTTACAAATTAGGTGCATAAGCTGTTGTGTACTAAGCTGTAAAGTTACTATAGTTTTTTAACTATCCCACGGGAACTCTTTAATTTTCCGGGACAAAATGTATCAAAATGTTGACTAGACAAGAACAGACAGAGAAACAAAAAATTTGAAAAAAATCTGGATTTGTTCTATTTCTCTTCTTACACGCCCCTGACACGGTTTTTAGCATTTTTTTTCTATGTATAGACATTCGACCTCTACATTTTTATTATATGTATAGATATTCATTCCCATATTTCTATATACACAACACGTATTTTATATCGATAAATATAATAAAATATTACAAGCTTTTATTTAATTTCACCTGTCTCGGTGTCTGTCTGTAATCATATATTGCAAGTTAAATTTGACAAACTTCCCTTTGTCCGATTGAGCTGAACTTTGGTACACACGTTTGACTCTTGAGCCTGTACGATTCCCTAAATGTCGCCAACTTTAATCCAATATTGAGGACTTTACAAAATGGCGAATTAATATATCTATAGTTCATATGATATAGACATCAAATGAAAGAGCTTGTTGAGCGAAACACAATAAGCAAAGTGACGTCATTGTAAAATAAAATTTAATTTGGCGGGCTGTTTATTTTGAACTCCCATGATATGGATATCAAATGAAAGGGTTTGCTGAGAAGAATACAAAAAAGTAATAAACATTAAAAAAAGTTTAAACATTAAAAAAAAACTAGCTTTTATTTAAATGCTCTAAAAAACAAAGAAGTACTATAACTTCTTACGTGTCTACATAAGTATACACTTACACACACTTTTTTCCAATAAATGTTTCTTGTGTTTTTTTATTAAATTTGACATAACTTTGTATATTTATGAACCGATTGAAATAAAACAAATACTAAATGTTAAGTATTAAGTTGACGACACGCTTGGTTCAGTTTGTAGTGATAGTAGTTAATGTGCCAGCGATCTCGGGTTCGAGTCCCGTTGGGGTCAATCATTTGTGTGATGAGCACAAATGTTTGTACTCCAGTTATGGGTGTTTATATTTATAATATGTATGAATAAATACAAATGCAGGTGGAGTTAATTAATAAAAGACTCTATAAGTGTAATTGTATTTTAATAAATATATAAAATAAGTAACCAGATTATTAATAGTATATAAATTTAAACTGGAACGTAATATCTTTTTGCGATTCCATCCCAAGTGCTTGATGTTATCGTCTAGAAAAAAATAAAATATATTTTAGTATTCATTTCAATATGAGAGTTGGAAAATATTTTTGTTCGGTTCGTCGCTAAGTACGTTTAAAATAGATATAAATAGTTATTATAATAGATAGCCATATAATTTTTTTTATTAATAATATTGACATTAATATTTATACGATACTAACGTCACTCAATTGTTTTGCCTTCTCGGAACTTGTCCACTAAAACTTAAATTTTATGGTATGGTATTAAAGTTCAAATTGACTTTTAAGTATTATTACGAATCTTTTGTATGGGAGTATAGAAAAGTGTTGTTTTTAGACTTTTTCAGGCAATTTTTTAAATTTTTCTCTCCGTAAGAACCATTCTCGTACTTCAAAGAATATTCTATAAAAGAAAACGAAATCGGTTCAGCTGCTCTCGAGATTTGAGCTTAGCAACCCATTCAGCGATTCATTTTTATATTATAGACAAAACCACTTGATGACTTAACATATTCTATATTTTACAAACTAATTATTTCTATTTATCTAAGTACAAAACATAAGTTGAACTTAATTACATATAATTAAGTTAAAAAAAAAGTAATTCATAAATTACTTTCATCTTTAGTTATTATAAAACGAAGACTATTCGTATCTATCTGTTTCTGCGCTATTTCTAATATTTTCATATGACTATCATTTCAAGAATTTCTTGGGGGGAATTTCTTCAATTATACTTATATTTATTTAAAAAATATGCCAAAATATCTTACCAATACAAGCGAGTCTTTGGAAAATTCTCTTTTGTAAGTTAGAGTTCGGCCATCTCCGAATTTCTGTTGTTGAATTACTACATTACCGTCCACTGTAACGGTGGACTTTGCCTAAAATTAAGAAAAAATATACCATTATTTTTAATTATTTTATATTTAATTTCTTGAAAACACACTGGGAGGCGGGTCCACTTCGGTGGGCTATGTGCTATGCGGGTTGCTCCAGGAATTCTCTGATAACAGAGAAGTCCGTAGGAATAACCCCATGGTTGTTGTACTCGGCCTCGGGCCCTCGGCAGGATTGCTTGTTTTGTTGGGTTTAGTGGGTAGTACTGGCTTTTCTAGCCGGTGAGTCCCACATAACCATGCAGTTAATATGGGAAAATGCATTTACCTACGTTAAAATATACCTATATATACAGAGATATATACGTATATATATATATATATATATATATATATATATATATATATATATGTATATATATACATATGTTACGAACACACACATGCAAATTTAGAATGGTCCGATTTCAAAAAACGCATATACGAAATAATTTTTTTAAACGCTTTCTTTTTTCGAACGAACTTTCAAAAACAATTTTTCCACCGTGCTCTAATTAAGTATATAATGCAGTGCCTAATCATATTAAAGACATTGTAAATTTTAAATAAAAGATATCGACTAATTCTTATTATCATTATTTTTAAAGTGTATCTTATATCTTTAAACGAGCAATTCTTGTGTGTATATATATATATATAGATATATATAATCTGAATCTCAGAAACGGCTGCAACGATTTTCATGAAATTGAGCACACGGGGGTTTCGGGGGCGATAAATCGATCTAGAGTAGTCTTATGTCTGAAAAAATGCGCGTTTTCGAGTTTTCATGCAAATTTCTTTCGCATTGTTCCACGCAAAATGTGGTCGGTAATTTTTTGTACATTAGGCCAAAAACTCCGAGCGAAGCTCGGTAGCCCAAGTACTTAATTAATTATTAGTGATAAATAATGATAACTGATGTTACAATATCGGACACGGGTATATGTATATATATATATATATATATATATATATATATATATATATATATATTCTTTGTATAAATATTATAAATGTGAAAGTTTGTGAGTATGTATGGATGTTTGTTACTTTTTCACGCCAGACCGGCTGAATGGATCTGGATGAAATTACACAGAGAGCGATTGGCACAGAGATAGATTACAGTCTGGAATAATACATAGTCTTACTTATAACTTTTTTTCCCGGAAAAATATACGGTTGCCGAGGGATAGATTTTGTATTTCTATATAATATAAAAGGTGTATATATTATAGTAGTATATATTATAATAGTTTAACCTACTTAAGTATAATTTATCAGCTCATTGTAAAATTATAAATGCAAAAGTTGCTGTGTGTGTATGTATGTAAATGCAACCAGTGCCGGATTCAACCTTACCGCCGCTTCTGAGTATAGTAAAAACAGCCGCTTAATTATCAAAATTTGGCTTAAAATGGGTAAAGTTACGATAAAGTTTTTTTTTTATTTTAATTTAAAAAAATATATCAATTTTTCGAAAAATGAATAGTTACATAATTTTAAAAAATAACAAAGTAGTACAGTTTTTTTTTTTAGGGATCAGCCGTCCATGCGAGACGTTCATAGGTCGTAAGGACATACGATTAGAGAAAGATATCAAACAACGTTGACAAGATATCATTTTAAGAATAGAAATCTAAAACAATATACATGTGAATGACCTTTTATGATTGTATGACATAGGTAACGATTTTTGTCATTTCAATACAATTATTAGGTACTGTTCTGTAACGAATGTGCTTGTCTCACCCCATAAAAATACTAAAGTAATAAAAAACTTACAACAACTCCCTCTGCAACTTCCTCGTCGAATTCGACACCATTTTTGAATTTAACCTCTTTGGTGCCGTTATCACTAACGAATACGAAAACGTATTCATCATCCCCAATTTTTACGAGCTTCT